CCCTACCGTAGCAAGACCCTGCACAGCATGCCAGGTGGCTTTCACTACGATTAAAGGCTGCGGCCGCCGCAATGAAGACTAGAACGGGCTTGGCCGTCTTGCTGTCGACTTTTCATACGGGCTTGCAAGCGAAATTCTGACAAGTACACTCAGGCAGAGCGATGTTATAGAAGATACAGGTGAGCCGCTGTCGTGTCTTTCTGCGGTTTCGCATGGAGGGAATACCCCTTTGCCCATATCCGCCATGGAGTTGCTTGTTGTGAGAGCTGACGAAAAAGTCGTCTGGGCGAGCTTCTAGTCCATGCGTCGTGTACCTGAGAGCATAGGTTTGTTTATGTTTGTTTGTAGTATCTCGCCGAATTGGAAAGCTAGTATTTTGCAACACGAAATCCAGTGCCCGCGCTCCTTGCCAAGTTTGTCGGCTGCTGTGCTTATCGAGTCAGACCCAAGGGCCTACTATTGTCCCTATGTGGTCATCTTGCATAGGCACCTGCTGCAGCTTGCATGGCTGGCAAGCATCTTTACTGGCAGTGCCGAACCTGCAAGGTTGCAAAGAACTCTTCCTTCGCCCGCCCGAGTGTGGGAAGTTGTGGCTCGCAGTTGCCGGGGCACGCCGTGCGCAGTGTAGCCACCATGGCCCTCATCACAGAGGCTCGGTGGGTTTTAGATGCAGTCCTCCAAACGTTCTTCTGGCTTGAGAACTCGAGTTGCTGGAGATGGTGGTGCTGTATTGAAAGCACGATGTTTGCGGTGCATCCTCGAATCAGTGGAGGCTACTGCTGGGCTCTTTTTCAATGTCATCTCACAAGGTCTCTTTCACCAGGATATCGCGACGTGCATTGTGTATATCTGTCACAGAAGACATCTGCATCCACACATAGTCTTACATTGCCTGACTTTACCTTGCCCTGCGTTGCCCTCATCATGCATAATACGCGCATGCATGCATGAATGCATATGGTCAGACCTGTAGGCATGCTTGTATATTCATAAACTGCACAAGCCACACAGCCTTTATGTACAGTCTTCGGAATGCAGAAACCACCGCGGCACTCACAGATAGAAATGACCAAACACTCAACCGCAGAAGTTGTGTTGATCTCAGTCAAGGTATGTTGGTAAGATGACATACATAGCACGGACGTTGGAAGTTCGAGCGAAATCTAGATCTCGAAGCCATAGAAGTTCAGTCCTCACACAGTGCTAAACCAGAAACTCATATTATGAACCAATCAACTTGACATGTCCATGGCACGGACTGCAGGCAGAGTAGTGAGTACTGGGCCGAGTAGTGAGTCTTATGTTGCATTGTTCAATGTTCGTAGTCCCGTTCATCCCTGGTTTAAGCACGAGCGTGGCTTTATCCTCACTGAAAGCCATCTTGAAGCCCAGCAAAAACTGCGTGGGGTCTTAAGGTATCACTGTAGTTCTTTCGCAGATCTCCCTCAGAAACGCTCAATCAACAAACAGAGTTCGGGAGGTTGGGGGTACAGTAATCTGTGGCCTTTCGAGTTGGACTGGGGGCATGGTGTGTTTGCTTGCCAGGCCTTTGCAGTTGGGGCGGCGCCGCCCACACTGCCCAGTGCCAGGTAGGGCATCGTGGCTCCACTTTCGGTGGGCAAGTCGTTCAGGGCCTCTCGGTGTAGTGGCGTAGGCGTTGTAGAATTGCTTTCTTAGATGGTCTGTTCCCCCCGGTCCTCGTAGTTGCAGTCAATCACAAAACCCGAACCCCAGATCCGGATTTCCTAAACCCCACTCGCTAGTTATCAAAGCTCTGAATCCAAAGTCTAGAACTTGCGTATGGGGTACTATATTGGGGCCCCGTATTTTCGGAAACTTCCACATGTCTCAAAAGAAAGATCCAAAGTGACTGACATCATTGGCCTTCCTTGCCAGCTTCGACCAGGTCCCCCAGCAGTACACCTTTCCACTGTGATTCCTTAGAAAACTGAACAAGAGGAAGTACGAGGGCACCCCGAGAATTAAGGGGATAGTGCGGAAGCAAGTAGAAAGGAGACAGTGGCATTTTGGAGGCTTGCGATTGGGACAAGGCTTCCGCGCAGGTTGGGTTGAGTAGCTCAAGCTCTCCAATGTTGTAGGTGAGGGAGATGAGGGCTCACGGTAGTCACTATACCTAACCCTCAAAAAACAAAAAAGAAACAATATATAATGGCAAACATCATGGCCCAATAGCTCTAAAATGCTATTACTCTACATATTTCTGGGGTCCAGGTAGGGGTGCGATGAATGAATATTAATCCTTAGAGTATCCCAGAGCTCTTCTACAACCTTGCTGTAGCAGGCTATGTCCGGAAACGCTAGTTCGAATGTTCCAGCCCCCATATTCAGAGTCACAACACCTCGAGGAGGTGTAGGTTTTTGTGAAGGAGTGCTGGAAGTCGTATGAAGTCATGTGACTAAGGCATGCTGTCGTCCGCGGAGTATCGCACACACACACACACACACACACACACACACACACACACTTGCGTAAAGGAGCTTAAAGCGTCGGATAGATTATTATACTGCTAGATTTTAGACAGCCTTCTTCATTTTGATGTGAAGTGTTCTTTTCGAGTCCTGGTGCAGATAAGTCCTGTTCGGTATGGTTTTCGGCATGGCGTCGTTCCACACAGGGTCCTCAAGGCACTTAGTCACACTCTAGGTACTATTTTTGCTAAATGACCGAACTCTACATTGGGTAGCTAGGTCCCATGAGATAACCTATATGTGCCCATTTGAAAGCCTTGGGAGGATATGAGTTTCCTTCTCGGATAGCCGTCAACTGCTTTCATAAGAGTCTACAGTTCTCCGCAGAATTCCAAGTACTAGAGGACAAGAATCCTTGCAAACCTCGAAAGCCCAATCTTCAGGGTCCTGCACCCCAAGCTCCAGACCCCTAAACCAAGCCCCCCTCTTATGAGTACTGAAGTAAAGACCCTGAGCCCTAAACCCTGAATCCTAAAACCCTAAACTTTAAGGCTTCAGACGAGCCTCAGACCTTAAGCTCCTAACCCTGAACCCTCAACCCTGAACCTATACTTCCCTAAAGCCCAAAACCCTCAACCCCTAAACCCTGAAGCCTAAACCTTAGACCCTGAGCCCTGAACCCTAACCCCTCAGCCCCGAAACCCCCAAAGCCGCTCCACCCGGCAGATTCGGTGCGCAGCCTCGGCAACAACAAGCCCATGAGGTTCGAGAGCAAGGCCTTCGATGGAACCGGAGGGGGCAGGGTTCAGGGGTTAGGGTTTAGCGGTTTAGGGTTCAGGTTAGGGTTTAGCGGCTTCGGGTTTAGGGTTTAGGGGCTCGGGGTTTAGGGTCTACTTAGGGGGTTTAGGGTTCAGGGGGTTATAGGGTTTAAGGGTTTAGGGGCTTAGAGCTTAGGGGGTTTAGGGTTCAGGGGGGTATATGGTTTAATTAAGGGCGTAGGTTTAGGGGTAAGATACGTGTCTGTAGGGGGACCAAGGTTTTTTGGTGCATGGGGCTCAGGGCTTTTAGGGTTTGATGCTTGGAGATTAGATGATTGAAGTCAGATGTATGTGTATATATATATACATATATAGATAGGGTTTCGGATCGAACGCGGGTGAAAGGCCGGCGTATTGCCAGAACCCCAGGTGCTCAGGCACGTAGACTTGAGCCATACCGGCATCTCCGAGTTGGCACAGGGCGCAACGACGCCAACGGTCAAAGGCGCGACGACGCCTGTGGGTGGCCCGCCGAGAAGGCCGACGGCCAGCACGGAAAGACTTAGCACGCCTGGCTGCCCACCACGCTGCCCCACGCTACCGGGAACTAGCAATGGGTCGCAGCAAGCAAGCAGCTGCGCGCCACGAAACATGGCGAGATACCTCCGATGGGTATGGCTCGTGGCAGGATGTGGATTATGGGTACTGGTCCAGGGAGCAACGCCAGCCCAAGGGCAAAGGCAAGGATGGACCGGGACAACCACGCCGCCCCAGAGAGCCCAAGACCGAGGCGGTGACCTTCCCGACCCTCGAGATGATGGACCCCAAGCAGCCATCTCGGTCTGGCCCTGCCAGACATGCTACCCATGCCAGAGAGCAAGAAGCTGCCCCTCCCGAAAGGCTGGACATGGCAAAGGCGGCCCAAAAAATGGTCAGCAGCATGCGAAGGGCGGAAGTTCGCATTCGGCGGGCTACGGAGGCGCAGGACGACCTGGAGACGCAGTGGAAGCAGTTCCAGTTGGAGATGAAGAAAACTTTCATGAAGGAACGCACAAGGTATCTGGAGCTCAAGCAGAAGCACCAGGCCGAGGTCGAGGAACAGGAACAAGTTCGACAAGAAGCCTTGGCAGTGCTGCAAGATGCCTTGGCTACTGGGATCTTCCACAGGGCGGAGGAGGTCGCAGAGGTCAAGGATGCGGAGGCCGAGGCCGAGTGGGACAAGCTCCTGCAGGAGCCAATGGGGCAGGACGCCGGCCTCGCGGAGATCCTCTCGGGTGCGATTGCGGGGGGCCAGAGACTAGGCCCGACGGCGAGAGGAGAGCTGCTCAGGCTCATCGAGAACCACAAAGACGGCGGAAGGATTGCCAGCACCCCGGTGCGGCGTCGAACCCGTACGGTGGAGTCGACACCTCCCAGGCCATCTGCAGGCCCCCCCTCGCGAGCCGATGCTATGGACACGAAGGATGGAATCCCGGCGGAACAAGCCTATGCGGCCACGGTGCTGAAGGACCCTTACATGGCCTCGCCCTCTGCTCTCAGGACAGCACCATCGCCGGCGGTCAGTACACACCGAGCTCGTTCGCAACCACGGGTATCGGTCAAAGCGAAGGGCCGCGAGCAGGTGATCCCGCCGACGGGCTCCATGTCCCTAAGCGAGAAACTCGAAGCGGCCAGGAACGAGGAGATGACAAAGTCGATCGAGGTCGACTCCGAGGAAGACGACCTGCTCACGGACCTGGCTGGCGGAAGCGAGCCCCTGGGCCTGGAGGGGGATTAGTACCTCGAGCGGGACGATGTGAAGGGCTTGGCCACATGGGTGTGGCAGTGAAGACATCGTCCCCTTCAAGCCTGCGGTCCAGCAGCTTTTTCGGCTCGTCTGCTGGACCCCAATCCTCTTTTGATATGAAGCTGGTGGCGACCCAGCCCTCCTCCTCTGATGCCCGCGCCGTTGCGAAGGTGATCTTTTGGGACATCTTTGACGTGCTTGAAGAGCTCTACGGGATCTGCTCGGCACGCCTCCTGGTGATCTTCATGGAGATGTCACCGGTTTTCATGGCCTTGGCAGACTCATTCAGGCTCATGGTGCTACTTCTATGCAGCTGGGCTCTTACTTGTCATCTTCTCTGGAGGCGGCCCTGGAGCAGTGGTCGGAAGTGCCCCTTTTGGACTTTGCCCGTGAAGTCCATCGTGATTGTGGCCCTGTGGAGCCCTGCTCACGGGGTACCACTTCCTATTGAACAACAGCCATGCCTGTCTACGGCCCCTGGCGCGGGTGTGAACGCAGGCCTCAACCCACGGTCGGCTGAGCACTACACACCTCAAGAACAAGCTCTTCTGCGACTCGGTGACCCTGACTATGGCCTGAGGGTGTACAGCCAGGGCGTGTTTCCCGGGAACACCTACCCTGACGGGCCACCTTTGGCTCGACCTTTGTCGCCCGAGCCCCTCACGGCTGACATTGAGGATACCGAGGAGCACGACATCACTGATGAGGAGGTCCGGGCGACCCATCTGTCCTTTTGGGTATGCTCCCCTGGAGTCCAGCCGGGAAGTGTTGATGTGGCCCTCTCTTTCCCGTTGAACGGTGCCAGAATCTCTGAGATCATCGTGGAGTCCACTCGTTGCTTGGATATGACTTGGCTTTCCGAGCCAGTGGCCACCCAGCCACAACTCCACAACGATTACGGCAGCTACCTGCTCCTGCCGCCCTGGGTCTTTAGTTCCGACTACAAGGCCGTCCTCATCGACGGTCGGAGCTTTGACAAGGGCGTTTTCTCTGTCTATGTTCGGGCCCTCCTGACCTGCGAGTTTGTCTTGCAACATGCGGGGCTCCCGCCCGAGAGCGACGCTGTGCTCTTTGTTGGTGGGGCTGAAATGCCCCTAGCCAGAAATGAAGGATATGCTGCATACCAAGGATGCTTGATCAAGATACTACGACCGGGGGAACAACCGATGTGGGCCAGCGATGTTACAGAACGATATGATGATCCAGCACTCTGGAATCCACGAACCCTACATCCTCCACACCGCCCAGGTCGCTACATTGAGTTCGTCGACAAGCACGGGTCTAGGCTGCATGCAGCTAGCCGCGAGGACAACCGGACTCCGGTTGAGGTCGTTGAAGCCCTCTTTGGCCTCCCCCGGGACTCTTTCTGGCTGCGGGCGCCTACACATCGGCCAGAGAGGATGTGGTATCGCGGCAAGAGGATCCATTCCATCGTCGCGGTCGTTGACCAGCGACTGCACCCCAAAGACCACACCAAGGTTGGCTTCCTCGATCTGCGACCCGTCGGACGTGATGTTCAGTGGTTCCCTGCCCGAGACGGTCGTTTCCATCCGGGTGCCCACATCCACAACCTCCACATTGACTTTGTTGGCGGCTATGCTATCGAGGTGCATGGAGGAAAGAAACTTCGAGGTGGATGGATTGAAATCGAAGATGGCGAAGTCCTAGTCGTCTCCCTACGACGATCTACCCGGGCCCGCCACGGCCCCCCTCCGGGCGACGGCGATGATGACGAGGACGAGGAGAGCGAGGACAGCAGCCCTACTGAGGACGCAATGCCAAACTCCTCGGACCTTTCCAGTCACTCCCCACAAGGACCGGGCCCGCACGGCCCCCCGCCTCCGGAGCCAGTGCGTGACCGCAGTCGCTCCCCTCTCAGACCCCCCCCTGCTGACATGAGACAGCCGTGTCCTTTGCAGCTTGCGGAAGCGATTCCCGCCCCGGTCTACGACCTCACGGACAACCGAGTGACGCTACCGTACGACTATGCAGGCCTGGCAGCTCTTGCGTCACCCTGGCCCCCGAGTTGGGTTTCCTTTGATCTCGAGGCACTCAAGATCGAAGATCAGACCATCGCAGCGCTACCCGACCTACACCCGTGGACGGAGCTCTTCCCGGTGGCGCGGAGCCCCAGCGATTTGGAGTTCCACCTCTACACCGACGGCTCCTATGACCAAAAGGGGGGCGGTCTTGGCTATGGAGTTGTGATCATGCTCAATGGCACGCTCTGGGCTCTACTTGGCCTGCTGGGTGGCAGCCTCTACGAGCCACAAGGGCCCTCGTGGCCCATTGATGGCCCCCCGGCACTGCGCGCAGAGCAGGTCGCCCTTGCGGTTGGCCTACTGTGGAGCTTTCAAGCGGCTTCCACCTTTCGGGGTGCGCGACATTTCTGCCACTTCGACTGTGTCGCAGCGGGCTGGGCAATAAATGGCGACTGGGCTCCAACAGATGATTTCGCTTCAAGAGTCCACCTTCTAGAACTGGTCACGCGCAACCACATCACCGATGGCGTGTGCTTCTCCCACGTGAAAGCACACTCGGGCCACCCATGGAACAGCCTGGCCGATGCCACCGCAAAAGCAGGAGCACGAACCGCCAAGGAGTTACCGAAGCCCCCTGTCACTCCTTGCCAAACTTTCCTGGAGCTCGACCTGACGTGGTCTGCGGCCATCGACTCAGCCCGCATCGCTGGGAGCCTTCCTTTGGCCGGAGCTGAACTGACCTGGCCGACTCATTGGGATGAAGCCCGGCCATCCGCCCTTCGCCCTGAACAGGTCCTACCTACCAGTTCACAGACCTGGGGATCGGGTGGGGATCAGACCGCCAGGTTTTGCTTCACTGCAGCGTCCATCAATGCACAAGGCATGCAAGGCAAGCACCAGTTCTATGAAGAGCAATTGGACCAGATAGGCTGCAACCTCATCATGCTGCAGGAGGTGAAACAGTCATCCAGCTTTTGTATGTCCCGGCGGTTCTTCAGGCTAACCACGGACGGACTCCGGCATTGGGGAGTCAGCATTTGGGTGCACCGAAAGCGGGGACTTCTCTCGCTGGATGGCAAGCCCTTTCATGTCTCTGCTACTGACCTCACGGTGCGAGCCGAGAATGAGAGATTGCTTGTCCTGGAGATCGCTGTGGGCCCACACCGAGTTATCCTGGCCTCTGTGCACTGCCCGCATCAGGCAAGAAAGGAGGAGGCTAAGCGATACCTCGACGACCTTGCCACCCTGCTGCAGTCTTTGCCGGAGGCTAAGGTTGTCGTCATCGGAGCGGACTTGAATGCCAGGTTGCCTCCTCACGAGCCCAACATCACTGGTGGCTTGCAACATGGCGAACCTGACGAGATCGGTCAATGGGCCGTGGAGCTCTGTCGAGCTGCTAGGCTCTGGGTCCCATCAACCTACGAAAGCCTGCATACTGGTGACAGTTTCACTTTTCGGCACCACAGTGGAGCTGAACATCGGGTCGATTACTTTCTACTCGGAGGCACGCAGCGGTGCGACCTTTTGGAAGTACTGTTCTCTATGACTTCGACAACCTCAATGTGCAGGATGACCATTTCCTCCTCCGCTTAACGGCCCAGGGACCGTGGGACTCGGGAAGCCGCGCAGCCCTTTGGCGGCCCAGGCTGGACAGGGATAAAATGCGCACTCCGGAGGGCCGGCAGATCATCGCTGAATCTCTGCGAGGGTACGTCCCTCCACAGTGGGAGGTCCACCCTGATCTACACTGCCAGCATCTGTTGGACCACCTCCAAGCCCTGATGCGCGAGCACTTCACCAAGCCCGCCAACGCGCCCAGGGCTACCTTCATTCCAGATTTTGTTTGGCGGCTTCGGGCAACCAAACTGCGACTGAAGGTTCGAACAAAGCACCGCCGCATCGGCTGGCGCATTCTTCTACACTCCGGGATCCTGTTCTGGCGACACGGCGTCGCCAGTGGGGAGTGGGTCAATGCAGTGTGCAAGCACCACCTGCTTCACGGGATAGCCGCGTCGGCCATCAAGGTAGCCACGCAGCTTACCAAACGAGGCATCCAGACTGCGAAGGACTCCTTCCTGAAGGGTGCGGCCAAGGGATACGAACCCACCACTGGGGCCAACCACCTCCTGTCCAACCTCAAGAAGGCTGGATTGGGACAGCGAGCCAAGCAGAACTTCCAGCGACAGCTTCCCCTTCTACTTGATGAGGACAAACTGCCAGTTACTAGCCGGGAGGACTGCGACGCCCTTTGGCTCCGCCACTTCGGTACCCAGGAGTACGGGGAAACCATCGAGCTGCAAGCCTTACTTGACAAGCCTCACCCTCCTGTTGTCCAAGATGAGGAGCTCGAGTGGAAGGTCGACAGCCTCCCGTCCATCCTTGAGCTCGAACGGGTTTTTCGGTGCCTGCCGAATGGAAAAGCAGCCGGCCCCGATTCAGTGCCGGGGGAGCTGCTAAAAGCCGCCCCGGCGGAAACTGCACGTGCAACCCATGCACTGATGATGAAATCGTCGATGAGGCTGCATCAACCTCTTCACTGGAGAGGAGGGACATTGTTCGCTGCCTGGAAAGGCAGTGGGGAACGGAGCAACCCGGACTCACACCGCTCCTTATTCGTGTCCAACATCCTCGGCAAGTGCCTGCACAAGGTGTATAAGTCGAAGACTACGGACTGTACTGGCCAGTCCTTTCACGGGATGCACCTAGGCTCCAAACGAGGAGCACCGGTGACTTTCCCGGCCCTCCTGATCCTTTCCCACGTGCGCCTCGCCCTTCGAGCGAAGGCTTCCTTTGCCATCCTCTTCCTCGACGCAACCCAGGCGTACTACAGGGTGTGCAGGGAGTTATGCATGGGCAGGATTTCTGAAGACATTGCGATCGCTACCGTCTTCAAGCACTTCGGGATCCCTGCTGACGAGATCCATGCTCTGCACCAGGAGATATGCGATGGAGGCTTCATGGCGGACAACGGCTACCCGGCGGAGATCAGACACATCGTGAAGGACTTCCACAACGTGGCCTGGTTTACGACCTGCTATGGGAGTGGCACGCATGTGTGCCTCACCAAAGCCGGATCACGCCCCGGCGAAAACTTCGCCGATGTTATCTTCGGATTTGTCTACGAGCGCATCCTCCAACAGATAGCTGAGATCGCTAATGGTGAGGGCCTCATGGACTTCCGGAGGTATGATACAGCCTCTGGGATCTACGGGGACGGCCTCGGTGGGGATGACACCCTCATCCAGGACAGCACTTGGGCTGACGATAGTGCTTTTCCCTTGATGGACCGGTCACCAGGGGCTTTGATGGAAAAGACACTGCGCCTTACTTCTTTGGTGGTGTCCCACTGCCAAGGTTTGGGGATGCGCCCCAACCTCCGTCGGGGGAAGACGTCATTGTTGCTTCATCTGCGAGGCCGCGGTGTCCAAGCAGTCAAGAGAGCCTACTTCCCAGCGGGTGCCTCCAAGGTCCTCTTGCCCGACTTAGGCGTCTATGTCGAAGTGGTCCCGGCATATACTCATTTAGGTGGGGTGCTCGACCACCGGGGTGCTCTAGAGCAGGAGTCGCGTCGGCGACTGGCCCTTGCAGCAAACGCCTACGACGCTTCCAAGCAGCTCATCCTCAACAACCGGACCATTGAGCTCTCAGCGAGAACTGCGGTCTTCGAATCTGCAGTGCGCTCCACCTTGTTCAACGTCGCCCTGTGGGTCCCGCGAGGCCCTGCCTGGGATCGGCTCGTCGGAGGCTATACACGCCTGATGCGACGCCTCCTCGTGCCTTTCTTCGGGGACAAGGAGGTCTTTCGTCTACCTGACCCCCTTGTGCACGTCCTGGCAGACAGTGTCCCCCTCGAGCTCTTTGCCAAGAAATCCCGGCTCGGGCTGCTACTATCAATGGTCATTGCGGGCCCACCAAGCCTGTGGGCGATCATCCAGGCGGAGCAGGGATGGATGGCCTGCCTGCGGGATGACCTGGCCTGGCTTGCTTCCGCGAACCCTACGAGTTGGCCGGCCCTCGACGTTTCGGCTTGGCCTCAGTGGTGGCACCTGATGAAGCTTGGCCCGGGCTCCTTCCGGAAGCAAGTGGCGAAACGGATTGCGGAGGACTTCGAGGCCTACAAAGTCGAGATTAGGCCGAAGCTGTGCCTCTGGTTTTGGCAACACCAAGCATTGAAGCTTGTGCAGCCGGTCCCTACGATAGCAGCGAGCTGGCGATGCGGACCCTGCTCCAAGTGCTTTGGTAGCCGGGCGGGACTTAGCGCCCATTTTTTCAAACGGCACCAGCGACGTGCCGAGTACCGAGCATGTGTGGATGGGACCTTATGCCGTGCATGTGGACGCCAATTCTGGTCGGAGAACCGTCTGGCGGTGCATCTGAGAGACACTCCCGGGTGCGTTCTACGACTACGGCAACATCGTCTACTTGCTGGTCAACCCGGTGGTGGCATTGGCAGCCGTGCTTGGAGACAGCGCGACTCCGAGCAGTACACCCCGGCTCTGGCCGTTGCAGTGGGCGATGGCCTGTCTGTGACTGAGGAGCGGATTTGGAGTGACACGCTCAAGATTGCCTACAAGGACCTGTCCGATCTTCTCCTCGACGCGGATGGGCGACAGACGGCGATCTCGCAAGGGGATTTTCCGGACAAGATTGTCCGGGCATACCCCCTTTATCCGGAGGAAATCGAGGAGCTGGTGCAGACGATCATTGACGATCTCCAGCTGGTGGGTGAGGCTGGGGCTGATGTTCACTGGTCCATTGAGGAACATGAACAGCTCCTGACAGCCCTCAAGGCGTCCCAGCTGCAGGATGGAGCAGAGCGAGATCCGAATGCGGAACAAGCGACTGCCCTCCTTCCTCGACTTCTACCTCGACAGCCGATCGATGTGGATTGGCCTGGGTTACTTCGACGTGTGAGAGGCTCCCACGTGACCGGTAGGCGGCTTGTTGTAGACCTGTTGGAAATCCGGGAAGCTGCACAGATTTCCTTTAGGGACAAGCGGGCCAATGCAGCCGTGGACGAGACGCTCCAGGAAGTTGCCCCGCCCCAACTCAGGCGAGCCTGGCGAAGCCTCCTAGAGGGAGACGAAGTACAGATCTTCGCTAGGCCGGAGTTTTGGGCGACTGCTCTTGCGGCCCCATTTGTACATGTGGGCCTCTGCTTTTGCAAGTAATTAGGCTGCGAACTATAACCACTGAAGGCCAGCGAAGCGAAGCAAACATATATAGATATATATATATATATATATATGAGATTCTTACAAGTTGATACATGCTTTCTCTCACGTTTAAGCCGCCCCGAAGCTGGGCTCGGTAGCTCCAAACTTCATGTTCCAGGGTCGAAGGTTGGTTTTACAATCTTTCTACTATGGTCGGCGTGAAAGTGCCCCAGAAGGCCCACCTGCAGCTTCAGTGGGCTTCGGGTCTCAGGGTGCTGTTGGGGATCAGGGTTTTGGGAATATAAGACTTAGGGTTTAGCAGTTTAGTCAGTTTAGTGTTTCAGAGCTTAGTAACTTGAAGCTCAGGAATTAAGCTTGCTTGAGCTTCGGGGTTTAGGATCTTGAAACTCCTGGGGGCCCAGCAGCTGAAGGCGTCTGCTTAGGATGCGGGTTGAAGATTCTTCATAGGTTGAAGGTTGAGGGTCGGGTCTAAATTTGCAGCGGTAGCCCTGCAAGAAAGCTCTGCTTAAAGCCTCAAGCTGTTTAGCAGGAAACGCGAAGGAGTCGCCCTGCTTCAGCACGAAGGGAACAATCATGCCACAAGTTGTGCGTGGCACACATGACATGTGAACCCTTGAATGGACACCTCTTTGATCCCCACAAATTGCCATTTTTGCTCCCGACCATCGCTCACCAAATCGAACAGATGCTCGCATTAATTTGGAGACGTACTAAATGCGAGAGCAGCCTGGAGAATCGCGAGTGCGCAGAAACTCTAATCCCTAAATCCCAAAACACAAAGTCAAATGTGAGGAAGCTCCTCAGCACTCGCTGCTGCCGCCACAGTGCTGGCTGCGGGTGTCGCAGCCAAAAGGTGACTCGCTGGCAACGGTTCTGCAGTTTAGAGGGTGGTTTAGGGGTTGGGTGAATGTTGCGGTTTCTAAGCGGGTTTAGGTTTCATGGATTTGGGACGTAGTGTTGAAGGCGGAAGGTTTTAGGGTATACAAGTTTCAGGCTTAACGGGCTTAGAGTGGTGAGTTAACGGCTCAGGACTCAGGGTTTGTGGTTTCTTCGAGGTTTAGCAGTTAGGATCTTGCATGTGGGATGTTGGGTTTCAGGGCTTTCGTTTCGTCAGAATCGTCGCTTCTGTTTTTGGAAGCATGTATTCTGTAAATCGTCTTCAGCCAAGCCTCCTTTCCCACACCTATATAGAACAGCAGGTCCATGCCCTGTACATAGTAGCCAAACCCTGCAGCGTTTTCCCACAACCCATGATTGAGCCCTACAGCCGTTGATTTCCCAGGCGAACGGTCCCCGTCCGAGCCGCCGTTGTGATGAGGGTCCGGCCGTTTCACAAGCTCGCTCATCTAGGGTTGAACTTCATAAAGCCTAGCGGTTTAGGGTTTAGAAGTTTAGGGTCTTGCGCCCCGCAAACCTTCGACAAATCTACCTCGCATCCTGAAGCACCTAAGGGCCATCTAATCCGAAGCCTGGGCACTACAAAGCGCACGCGCACACACACACACACACACACACACACAGATTCAAGTCTAGTATCGCGGCCAGAATATATAGCAGTGCGTTGCCGTAGGGTTACATAATGCAGCCCGACACATTGTTTCTATTGTTTACGGCCCCAATGTTTACTTCATGTTAACTCCTGGCCGGTCCTAGCCTTGGTCCTGAGCAGTGGTCATTTGGGCAAACTTCTACATTTTATTTGGGTAATTAATCCAATAAGTAATAGAATCTTTATGGGTACTTAAACCCAAGAAGGAATAAACAAATTCAAGTTTTAATATTATCCCAACCATGAGCTAGGTTTCGGGCTCATGGATTGGAGCTCGAGTGGTGTGGCTTGGGCTTGTGCTGCAGCTTTCGGGCTTGTAAGGTCAGTGTAGTATCGGGGCCTTGGATAATTACCTACACTAGTTTTTTTTCGGGGGTGGGTCCTCTAAAGGGTTCCCTTAAAAGGGTCTACAAGGGATCTATAGTAGGGTTCTGTGGTAAAGGGGCATTTTGGCGGGGTTCTTGACAGGAAAGTGGTCCCCAAAACCATGCTCTAATTATTAAGGCCCCTGTAGTATGTCTTCAGGCAGTGACCAAGATCCAGTTTCAACAAGGATTTAAAGCACTAAGTTCGATCCATCAGGTTTGGGCAATTCTTCCAGCAATGTCTCTGCAATCACAACATGGTTTCGATGGTCAAAACATCTAGGAAACCGCAAAGGCCAGAATACTGCTGGCTCAGTTTTATGTTTGGCAGCACGCGCCATTCCTCCACTCGAAGCGGCCTCGCACTTTTTACGTAAGTGTTCGCGTATGCATTGCAGGCTTGTGCGTTTAGTGTATGCACGGCAGGATGGCTTTGGGCTTCTTCGAACACAGTAGCTCTAAGGCAAAGGTTAACTACCTGTGGCCTGTGGGCACACGTAGCCCATGCTTGGTGGTCTTGGCATCTGTCGGAAAGTTGCATGATGTTGAGCTCCGCGCCCGTTGAATCCTACAACTGGACTTGGGTCAAACCTGCATTCTCGTTGGTGGCAGGATGGTGCTGCGCGTCAAGCCCCCTTCTTCAAGAAGGCATGAGTGAGATGCCATTCAGTCTGCAGCCACGTAGATCTTGTATTGGAGGACGCTGTTGAACGTGAGCGGAAGCGATTACGTACTGGCACCTGATTTGCTTTACTTGTGACTCTATGGCAGTCACACAGTACTGCAATGGTGTTTTCTGTCTGTGTGTGCGTGTGTGTGTCTGTGCGACTGTTTGTGTCTGTCTGTATCCTTGAATTTGACTAGGATCTTGCACGATTCAAAGGACTCCGTGGGAATCCTCGGGTTCTCGCAAGGAGACAATCCAATGCCAGCTTAGCTTCCCGGGTTCCAGAGAAGCAGAGCATATCAGGCTCTGCAGCAAGACACCCGTGTGAGACATGCGCATGAGGGCAACCCGACGCTTGCAGGCTTGGGCACTGTCGCTTATGGCAGCTATCTGTGCTCGGTGCTAAGTGCCAGGGTGAGTGCATGGTTATTCTTGTCCTCAGAACATCATGGTGTTGGCGTCTGTGACTTGTCGTGCTCAGCACACCTTAAAGAGTTGCTGACCAGAGTATTGCAGTGCCATGTCCGGGAGAGGCCCCCATGTTAGCATGCCAAGCCGATTTGCCTCTGCGTGCATGGTCTGGTGCCTTATATACGGCACCTAATATTTAGGGTATCCGAAAAGGGACCCTAATTTATAGGATCCTTAAGGGAGGGTGGTTCAAGGGGGGAGGGTATAAGGAATCCTTAGGGGACTGTAAGGGAACCTCAGGGAGTACTGGGGAGGATTAGGGATCACTAGGCTATATACCCCCCTTGGACCCCCCTCCCTTAAGGATAGTACAGCTCACTTTGACAACTACCCATATGTAGGTTGGTCATCGAGATCCCGAACTGAAGCCCCGTCTAACAACACCAGAATTCTGGACATGTCGTGAAGCTCGAAACCCCAAACCTAATTGTTGTTTACCATTACTACTACTCTGTAGGGTCGTTATTCATCAGTACAGCGAACTTTAATTACCCCAACTAGGGTTCCTGAATGTAATGTAGTTCAAATTTGCCCTCTCTCTCTACAATACATACATACATACATACATACATACATACATATATATATATATATGTATGTAGATATATATATATATATATATATATATATATATATATATGAGATACAGGGTGCCTTCTAGAGCAGTAGCTTGTTGTAGAGCCGGCCCTTCACGGGACCATGGCTAGACCAGTCCCCAACTACCGACCGCAGCAAAGCTTTCACTGTTTAGGGTTTCCCTTAAAGGGATCTATAAGGGGTTCCTTTAGAGGGATCTAAAAGGGTTCCTTTAAAAGGGATCTATAATATGGGTTTAGGGTTTGAGGGGTTTAGGGTTTTAGGGTAACCGGGCTGCTGGACAACGAGGCTTGCTGCAAGAAGGGTTTTTAGAGTACATCCGTTGGAACTGCATAAAACGGAGGATGCCCATTTTTGCGGGCGATCTTGCTGATGGTGCGACAGTAGGCTTTTCTTGTCGGACATAGATGTGTTTGTCCAGGATTTGAGGTACCAATGCCAACACAACATCCTAATTTTCTGACCGTGGAATCGCTACATCTTCTGGGGAATCTACCCGCCCAAATAAGTCTGGGTTTTTGGCAATGTCTGACAGGTTGGAGCCTGGCGCACGAACATACAGCTCTTGCTTGTTGTGGCTCAGGTGGCAGCAGTGGCGCCACGAATAGAGTCGGAGCCCTTTTCTGCACGCGTGTAGGAGATGTTCAAAACAAGGAGTATTGTAACTTACTTAATGGTCCTTGTAATATATTTTTATCTAGATACGAATATAAACAGATGCTCATATGTGTGTATATATATAATATATATATGCATATATAGTGCTGAGGATCCCGTTGATACTACAGTCCCTCGTGTTCTGACAACTGCAAGCCCTAGCGAAAATCACATGTACCGTAAATTTGTCTGCTCGCACACTACTTGTAACGTTGCCTTGAGGGATAGGCTACATTGCTACAGATTCCGACCCCAATACGATCCTAAGATTGCGGAGTCTTCTTCCAGATTCACAGGCTGCTTTCCGAAGCAGAACAACCTGTACAGACTGCAAGAGGGCTGAACCGAAACCTCTGTCTTGACTGTATATGAAGCGGTTTCTGTAAGCTGAGAAAGTTCATCCTCGCCAACTTAGACTTCTCAGAAGTGAACCCAGAACCCTACACCCTAAACCCCTAAACCCCTCTGCTGGTCTAGTTGTGACGTGCTGAAACCCCACACTGTGAAAACAGCGCAGGACAGGCCTGCATTGTCAGCCGTTAGCCTTAGCCCCCTGAAGCCCCTCGGTTTGGGGTTTAGGGTTTAGGGTTTAGGGTTTAGGGTTTAGGGTTTAACCCGAAACCGCTGTCAGACCCTGCATCGTAGGTTCATCCTAGCCAGGCAGGAAGCAACGTGGCCTTAATGATTAGAGTAGGGCTTTGGAGGTTCCTTATTATAACTATAGCAAAATAGCACCCAAAACAACCTTGTTCTAGTATTTAAGGCCCCTGCCCTAAACCCCCACAATACTCCTTATAGACCCTAGTAGGACCCTTTTTAAGAACCCTATAAAGGAACCCTATTCCAGTTTATTAAGGCCCCTGCATGAAAAAACCTGCACACCGAGGTTCGGACAGCTCCAGCTCGGAGCTGCGCCAGCCGACGGCCCGGCTATCCCCCGTTTCGCCTATAATTGTATATGCCGTGAGGGTTTCGGTTTTAAGGTCTAGGGTTTTAAGGTTTAGGTTTTAGGGTTTTGAGATTGTAAAAAGGGTCTTGAGATTTAGGGTTTAGGGTTTATAAGGGTTCAGGTTAGGATCCTTTATACCAGGGTGCTGTACTGGTACCATGTTTGGGGACCGAAGCGGGGCCCCATTTTAGAGAACGACCTATATGCTGTTGCCCGTCAGAGTTTTTTTGAATGGAAGGTTAATGCTAAGAAACTACTTAGCACTGTATTTGGATGTTTATGTCCGATGATTGCGAGCATGGTGTCTTTGTTTCCGAGTTTGCATTTTCTGCATGCTGGCGGCTGTCTCACGGAGTGCTCACTTCATTTGGCTCGAGTTTCAGGACAATTTATGCAGCTGAGCTTCGCTCAGCCAGAGGACGTGTCTTTCAAATGTCAGGAGACCGATCGTTCAGACTCCTACAAGCGCCCCAGGGTCCCCTGTCTGGTGCGTCAGAAAACGGTGCGGCTCGTTCGAGGCCAGCTGAAGCCAGTGAAGATGGCAGCATGGACTCTCATGAAAGAGGACACTGGGTGGATCAGCAATTCGAGAACTTTGTGGATTGTGTCGCGCAGTGTCTACCTCATGGCAAGGCCGACTTTTTGCGCTATTATGAGGTGCCCAAAGTGGCCAAAATCTATGCCCCTCCACTTCAGCTGCCCATCCTTGTGTGCCAGAGTTTGGTGACGCTTTTGGCACTTGGCTTCTTGATCATTTCCTTACATCTGTACGAGGATGTTGCAGTGGTTTCTTCGACGCACACCTTCGACATTTCCTTTCCACAGCGGAATTTCGACACATGCCACGATGTAGATTTTGACTGTGACGATGTTGGCAAATCCGAGCTCACCCGGGACCAGGACCAGAAAGCCAACTCCTATTGCAACGAGGCAAAGCTGCATGATCCTTTATCACAGTTGGGCATCATTTCGCATTTTTATGGGTACTTAAACCCAATATAAAGAACAGAAGCTATAATGTTTTAATACTACCCCAAGCATGAACCAGGATCCTAGCTGGGCCATAGGAACACTGGAATGCTTTTAGGGTTTAGGGTCTGCTTTAGGGTTTAGGGTTTTATGTAGTCTTGCTGGGTTTAGTATCTAAACCCCAAACCCTAAACCCTAAACCCTGGGCCTAGGATCTCTCCAAGAACATGGAAAACTATTTCTTCTCCGTCAACGATGGCCACAACTACAGCAGGAATAGATGGCACTCACCACCCAGTCTTCAGCCGGAGTGCAAAAAGTTTGATGTCCATGGCGTTTTTCGGGAGGATGGGCCAGCCCCCTTGATCATGACTGCACAGTCGATCTTTTCTCAAAAGAGCTGCGAAACAGAGCCATCGATGCCGAGTTGTATTTGGGAGAACCTTGGGCCGTAGAGTATATGATGGATACTGATGGTTATTATTTAAATGAAGTGAAACTCATGCACCGTTATCTTGTGGGTGCTGGGCTGGCTGGGGGTCTGGGATTCTAAGTCTTGTGTGGCTTGCAAGGCGGTTTAATAGGGGGATGCCCTCATACGTGTTCCACCACCCCACGTGCCAGAGACGATACAAGGAATGACCATGTGAACTTTGAGATTGTTTACGATGTGGAGCGCTTTCTCGTGAAGCTTCGTCACGATATTGTGCTGGATGATGGCCGCCGGGTGGAGAGTACAGATGCAACAGGCTTCATGAAGTTCCAAGCTGATCCGAACAACTTGTTACTTGGATTTCTGATACACTTGCCTTTCCGGTTCCTATTAGATCGCAACTGTTATTGCCGTCACACGAAAAACCCAGGTATGTCGTGAAATGTGACCCAGACAAAACAGACTGCGACTATTCATTGCCAAGCCACGCAGATTTCCCGCCCTGTGGAAATACATCCTCGCAACTGGATTCTCCCTGCTTTAGCACGGGTTTCGCTGACTTCATCTCTCTTGAAATTCTTCTCCGTGCCGCCAACACCTCGCTTGATGAAGTCGTCTCGGACCTTCCCCGCCGATGGTGGGGGACTTACTTACAAGTCGATGTCAGATACTCCAACGATGATCTTCGGGACTACTGGCTGGGATCGCCCGGGCAGTTTTCGCAACTGCAACTGCGGACCCGTTATGTCTATTCTGTCAGGAAGCTTCTTTTTAGCTGAGTGGATACACTTTATATTTTTTTGGATATATATCCCACGATAAAACCAAAAGTGTACATTGTTGGGGGCTTATGAACTCAGCGATTAAGGCTTACTGATTACGTCTGGAACTCGCAGACCATCTTGACCTCTGATACGGAGCGCACTCTCGTACGACATGCTGGCATTCGCATCTCGGTCAATGCGCCTGGGCCTTCGTAAACTCCAGAATTGCAAGATCCTACTTGGAGATTCATGGGCAGTTATAGCTGGGCTTATAAGTAGGGTAACTATAGATATAACCCAAAATTAAGAGACTTATAACTCCACTTATAACTACCCATGAGCCTCCAAGTGAGACACCCTGTTTGAAACCCCCGATCTCCAGAAGCCCCTGAAGCCCCCGAGAACCCAAGAAATTGTAGGAACCTGATTAAGAAACCCTGGCGGTTTAGGGTTTAGGGGTTTAGGGTTTAGGGTTTAGGGTTTAGGGCCTACAACCCCAGAATAGTAGGATTCAGTTAAGGAGCCCTAATGAGGACAGGGTTTCTTGATCAGGCTCCTAGATTAGCCTACAAGCCCCAAGCCTGTGACCCGTATAAACACCAAAGTCCAAAAGTCGAAACCCTAAGCCCCCCTGTAGAACCATTATGCACCCCACAGAACCGACAAGTGAACCCCACGAGACCCTGCAGAAAAAAACATAAAAATGAGCATCTTTAGCAATTCTAAGGCCCAAAAAAAGATAGCCCGGAAGCCGAATACAGTATCGTCTTTGGGCCCTAAGGCTTGAACTATCAGTCGCCAGAGCTATAGATAGGGGTAAAGGAACCTTGAAATCCTTTAATTAAACGAAAGCATGCCGCTTGCTACGAGGGAGTTTCCTTAAAGTTGGGGGTACCTCATTTTTGGGTCCTTATACTATGGGTCATACCATTTAGGGTACTATAATTAGGGACCCCAATTTTCGGAAACCCTCATGTAGGTTCATGGAAGCCTTAAAACGTGGAGTTGGCTGAACGTCTTCCGAACCTTGGCGATCTTCGGCGTCCTCTGGAAGACTCTCGGCTTCGTAGAGGAAACTTTCATTTTGAGTGGCCACATGTAATGTTACCACCACCCGACTTGAAGAGTTTTGTTTGGGAACCTTGCAAGTTATTTGCTTGAAGTACGTTGAATGACGTCAACGAGCACTGGAGGGAAGGCAGAATGAATACTGACTTCACAGGAGTCACTCGGGTGTATGAAGCCCTGTAGAGCTTTACAAGAATTTGCAAGGTTTAAGGGCCGTAGTGTAAGTTGTGATAACAAGGAAGAAACATTACCCCCCCTGCACATCCCCACGTTTGTAAGTGAAACTTGCCAGAAGAACGCAGGATCACGGTGGTGATGGTGGACATCCTCATGTTGGCCTTATACCGGCAAATACCAACATTGAGGCACCTGCCCCATCTGAGGCACTATTACAGTGTCACGGAGACCCCCCACCATGACCACATCAAGAAGCTAAGCCACGAGCAGCTTGAGCTGGAGAAGAAGAAATACCGTGAGTTGAAGTTGCAGAAGATCATCCAAGATGAGGAAGCAGACGAAGCAGCGGGCCATTAA